GTACGATTGCGGCGGACATTGTGGCGGCGGAGGGAAGGAAGAGGAGAGAGAGGCATAAGAGGTTCGCGTGCTGGGTGGGCAGAGCTAAGGTAGCTAAATCTTCTGCCGGCAGATTTGTAGAGCAACCGCGGTGCTTCAGGTAGCTTTCTCAGCATATTGGATGGGCGGTCTTCGTTAATTAACGCATCCATGCTTGTAAAGGCTTATGCTCATCCCATTCTTTCCTAGAGTTGCTGACGGCCATGTTCGATTGGCAGTAATTCGGATTGCAGCTGAATTCAACTTGTACAGTTAGTTACTAGTCAGTTATGAACTAAAGCTTTATAGCTACTATTGAAAATCACGATACCTGTGTAGGGCTTTTTACAACTTTAGCTAGCTTTTAGAAATTTGACTCTTCAAATTCACTCGAAAAAAGTGGTGAAATAATGGAAATATCAATAAATGTCACACTATAACATTATCGTCATACATCATAATCAATGTCACAATAAATAATGTTACAATGTTATGACCATTATCAAAATGTAGTGAAAAATGTCACAATGTCCAAATATGATTCAATGTCAAATAATAACAATGTCAATTTGATAAAAATGACATTGTAATAATAACAATATCAATATCGATGTTAATGTCAATGTTATAAAAATGACATTGCTAAAAACAATGTCAATGACATTGTTAAAAATGTCGAAAAATTCTAACAATGTCAAATAATAACAATGACAGTGTCATTGCTACAAAAAAAATGACATTGTTAAAATGACAATGTCAATGCTGAAGTCAAATGTTGTGACATTGAAATGCTACATTGAAATATTAACATTGTGACACTGTCAAGAATTGACATTGTTTTCGTTAATGACTTGAGATAATGTGACATTTTTCATGCCATTGTAAAAATTGACAATGTCAAAAAATTATAACAATGACAAATAATAACAATGACAGTGTCATTGCTAGAAAAATGACATTGTAAAAATGATAATGTCAATGCTAAATCAAATGTTGTCGTGTCAATGTCAATCCTATAAAAATGACATTATTAAAAACAATGACAATGATGTAAATATAACATTGTTTTTATAGAAAAATACATTTTTGACAATGATTTATAATGTCGTTATATGATAGTGGAACAATGTCATTGTTTAAAAATTAATATAATTTCTCAAAAAACAAGTCAGAAAATAAATAATAAAAACTTGAGAATGTTAACGTAATTTATTAACATTATGTATTTTCTTCAAACAGTTGTTCAAACTTGATAATGTCATGACATTGTTAATGAAATTAAAATCAAACAATTGTAACCAACTACATTCACATTGTAAATTGTATTGGTATATTAAAAATATTGTCAATAATATAAAAAATGCCACAATATTAAGATTATTTATCAACAATGTAATATATTAACAATGTAATATATTGTCATTATTAACGATGTAATATATTGACAATATCATTGTAAAAGAAACCCATATTCCCTCATACTACAAAACACATTAGTGCATTCCTAATCTTCTTCTTATGTTACATCACCGTACTCCGGCCAATAAATTGCCGCAAACTTAGAAACCAAAATAGAAAGAAAAGGAAATATCTGGCCAGGCCACTGGAAATTAGATCAAGATCTGCAATTCTGAATCTGCAAAAATCGAAGAAACACGGCAGATCTAAAAATAGAATCCGCAAAATTGGAGCAGCACAGCAGATCTCTAGCACGCATCGAAATTCTGAATCTGCAAAAAATTGAAGCCGCAGACGTCACTAGACCTATCCTTACTCCTTCCTGGACACCACCGCATATCTGCCATCCTAGCCCCACCTTTCTGCCATCCTACCACCATCCTACCCCCTACCCTTCTTCTACCTCGGCCCCACCCTATTGCCACCCCCTACCACCTCGACCCCACCCCGGCCCACCCGCATATTACCCCTTACCACATGCCCCTACCTCGGCCCCACCCCACCGCCATCCTACCCCCACCCTTCCGCCATCCGACCACGATCCTACCCCCCACCCCTACCCTTCCCCTATCTCGGCCCCACCCAGATCCCGGGCCCACCCTATCGCCATCCTATCCCACTACCCCTACCTTAACCCAACCCCAACCCCAACCACACCCACTACCCCCACCCTTACCGCCATCCTACCCCCCACCCCCTACCCCTTCCCTACCTCAGCCCCACCCTGGTCCCGGCCCCACCCTACCGCCATCCTATCCCAACTCCATACCCTACCTCTACCTTACCTCAAACCCTACCCACTACCCCACCCTTACCCCTAACCACGACCCTAACCCACCAACTACCCCCACCCAACCCCCTACCCCTAGACCTTAACACCCCACCCCGATCATACCCCTTACCCCACCCCACCCATAACTTCCGTACCCCGACCCCTACGAGTAGGTATGAGTGGGTATGAAGGGTTGTGGGGGAGTATGGGTAGAGTGTAAGATCATGGTAAGGGTAGGGGTCAAGGGTGTGGAATTGGAGAACTGGGTGAAAAAATTGATGAACATGTTTTCAGATTTGAAAATGGAAAACTAAAAAATAGAAACAGAAAATCGGAGATAGAAAAACTGAAAAATAAAAACAGAAAATTGGAGATAGAAAAACAGAAGTAGAAAACAGGAAAATATTTCTGTTAGTAAACAGGCCCTAAGTGATTCGTCCTTATTTCATACATATACATGTAGTACTATCTATATGAGGACAGATCATATCAGGCCGGCCTGACGAAGACCGCCGTCAGGCCGAGGCCATCATAGGCCCTTCCTGGTGGAATTTTTTGATGAATTTTTTGAGCATGTTCCTCATCAAGTCTAGTTTGTTCATACCAAATTGCAGCTAAAAATTCAATCGGGGAGACAGTGAAATAAATTCTCTACCAAAACTGCGCAGTTTATGTATATATAAAGTGCAGTTTTTGTAGAACATTTATTTGAGTGTCTTCCGGATTGAATTTTTAGCTGACATTTGGTATGGATAAACTAGACTTGATGAAGAACATGCTCAAAAAAATTCATCAAAAAATTCCACCGGGAAGGACCTCTTATGGCCTCGGCCTGACAGCGGTTTCCGTCAGGCAGACCTGACAGGATCGGGACTCCTATCTATATTATATTATGTATTAAAAGATATTGTAAAATTCATAATAAAAAAAAATATATAATTGATGTAGTATCACTTTGATCTCAGGGGCTAGTCATCCCGAATATCAAATTCAAACCATACAGCCCGAGCAATGAGTACCCTTGGATGAGGACCATCATGCTATAACTCAAGCTTATTGTGGTTATCTATCAAATAAAGATGATGTCACGAAAAAGAGCAGACCAGATGCATCAACGGTCATTATAGCTAAATACATCGGCCGATGGGTCCACCCTTTTGCTTCATTTTGGGGGCATCCAATGTACTCTTTTTCCCTTGCTAGGATTTTTTCCCACAGGGTTTTTCCTAGTAAGGTTTTTAAGGAGGCACCTCTCCACATGAACAAAAGGTGACAACCCTCGGTCCCAAGAGGAGTCATTACGAGGCACTCACTACTCTACTCCTCTCCATCTCACAATGCCGGCCTCAAAGATGAATAATTTCAAGAATGAGAAAGGAATCAGATTACTCCTCAAAAATCCAGCCCTGCTGATTTTAAGGAGTAGGGGGCTCGTGAGGGTACCATGGATTCAGCCCATGGCCCAACTACTTAATCCAGCCCATAAACGGGATCAGCCCTTAACGGGATCAGCCCATCTACGGGATCAGCCCTCAACGGGATCAACACATCCACGGGATCAGCCCATCAACAGGATCAGCCTAATTAACAGGATTAGCCCATAAACGGGAGTGATATCGAATGAGCCGCTGGACCCATTGGGAATCAGGCCCACGATAGGAACCCACAGCCAGGCCGGGCTGGACAGTAGACCTCGAGCCTGGGCGGAGTTCTAGTGAGGCCGAGATATTCCTGAGGTTTACGTGGCAAGGTACCATTCGAAGATAGATATTTGGAAACAGAGGATTTCGTGGACTGAAAGGAGAAAGTAATCGTGTGGGAATGAAGGACCGAGGAGTTCTATTTCAAGCAAGAATGTAGTTCATTAATTAGCATTGATTGTATTAGATTCCTTCCATAATTCTACCACTTAAATCTCTATAAATACTTGATGTAAACACCCTACCAAGGGGACGGATTTTGGAAGATCGAATTGATCCTCTTAGTCCGGAATAATAATACACAAACTGCCTTACGCTGCCAGATTATTGAATATTTTACGTATATTTAGCTCTCGTAGTTGGATTTTACTCCATCAGACACGCATACTAAGAAATGTGAGTTATGTAATTGATATTAAATTCATAAAATAAGAATAAATTAAGAATAATTTAGAATTATACAAATTTACTAAGTTTGGTATGAGACACTCTTAGTGACACGGGCCAAAAAGGAAATTGGGAAAATTTTGGTGAGATGGAGGGAATAATATATCTACAACCAACTGCATACTGCTCATTAAGTGTCAACGGAGTCCTAAAAGCAACCAATTGCCTACTTTTTTTTTTAAAACCGAAAATTTATTAAACTTTTATTAAGAAGAATACAAAGTGCTGATTAAAGAAAGCTAGAAAAAAAAAGCTAGTGAAACAAAATCGCTAATGAAAGAACAATCCAAAAAGGCCCCACAAATCCACCATCATTCAAAGCCCTGAAGTAAGAGATAAGCTCCCCGTTGAATACTATTGAGTGTCCCAAAAGAGATGAGCTCCCCAAAATAAAGAGTACAAGCAACCCTATGTGACAACCAACTTTTTAGCCTCGAGACGAGCACTCCGTCGAGGTAGCAATCTAGAACTGGCTGAATCCCATTTAGTGTCAGCAACGCGGTCCAGTAGCTCACGATCAGAAAGTAACCTGTGAATAGGTGTAGCTTCAATATCTTTCCCCCCGAAGCATTAGATTCCAAAAATTCATTAGAAATCAATCCATCCACTAGTAGAGGTGCATTATTGTGAGGCGAAGAATAAACTCGGAGAGGAGTAGTTTCGAGAATATCTGTCATGTCTATCTCTTTGGCTTCAACAGAAGAGACCTGGAGAGGAATAATTTCAATAACTCCCTCCTCATCGTGAACATTTTCAATGACAGCCTCCTCAATAACCCCAACTTCTTCTTGAACTATCACTCCCAATTCCCTTCCCAAATTATTCAAATCTTCTTTGAAAAGAATGGATGAAATAGATTCGTAGTTCCCTGCAGAAGAATCGACTGAAACAAAAAAATCTGCACTAGTCCCGAAATCTTCAAAGCGGTTCCTCACGCAATTCATATTCAGTACCTTCTGTTGATTCAGTAACGCATTATTAAACTCAATAAATCCTTCTTCATGCCAACCTTGTGATACAATGATGGTTGTACTGTTCCAAGATCTTCTATCCACAATGCTAATGAATCCCCCAAACCTGTTAGTGTGACTTGATAGCTGAATTTTACCAGAACCCTCAAACCTTGTATACAACCACGACTCCCCATTTTTAAGTTTACTAAAAGAATTGCATAGCCAATTAAACGCATCTAAATCAAAAGAAATTGAACACAATTGATCACCCTTGAGTTGACTTAAACGCACGACAGGAGAAATCAAGTCTATGAAAAATATTTTGCTTTCAATTTGCAAGGATATACCTCGTTCTATGGAATCTCTATTGCCTGTAATTTCCGCCACCGATAGCCGCTTATTTTGCCTCCAGCCGCCTCGATGTCGCCGGATTGAAGATTGGTAAAACTGCCCCAAGTTCCAATCTGCTTGCCAGGGGCAGATATCTCTTCGGAGGTGTACTGGATGCGAGCTCCAATGGCGGGCGCGACTGCTCTGCAGCCAGGGGCGGACCCAGGAAGTTTGTCTTGGGAGGGCGGTAACTTAAACAAAATATTTTTTGGGAGGACGAAAATTGCTTTTTATTATAAATATACACTAAAAAAAATTTTTGTTGGGGGGCGACCGCCCCCTGGGTCTGTACTACGGTCCGCCCCTGTCTGCAGCGGCCACGGTTTCCGTCCAACATCCCACGATTTCCGTCCATCAGCTCTGTTTCTAAGGGATCCGCTACTGCTCTGCAACGGCCGCCACACACTGACGTCGGAAGACCTGCGTTCGGCGCTGAGGCACGGGCAATCCCATCTCCGATCAGATTTCCTCCCCCCATCCGCCGGTTGTCGCTGGATCTGGTGATGGCAGCCACTTATGGAGGATCTCCCTAGCGACTCCCAAGTCGCCGCACCCTGAGCTCCCATCTATAATATCACCATATTCATATCTTAACAACCAATTGCCTACTTATTTGGGTTCCATTTATATTGCTAAATTTAAGTGATTTTTTACAGTACTAAAATTTAAATGATTGAATAGAACTTAATTTGTTGAAAAATGAATTCAATGTAAAATAATTTATTACTTATGTTATCTCACTTTCTTGGAGCTAAATTCAAATTTCTTTCTGGCTAAATTTAATTGATTGTATTAAAATTGTTGTTATTGCTGTTGTATTTATTATTGGTATATTGTTATTTGTAATACTCCTTATTTTTATTGTTATTATTATTAAGATTTTTAATATCAACTTCACTATCACTATTGTTTCATATTAATTTAGTGATTGTTTTAGCGGGTTTCGTGGTTGTATTTTTCACAAGAGCCGTTTTCTGGGTACAATGGAAATAAAGGGTGTGTTTGACATTTAACAGTTAGATAATAGCAGATTATGTTAGCGGATTGTCAATAGCGATAATAGTCGGTGAGTTTGACTAGCGGAATAGGTTGGCGGGTTGTCAGAAGATGTTTGGTAATTTAGCTGTTTGACGATAAAATTAGTAAAAACGTCATATTTCAAAACGTCAATCCAAAACTATCATATTGTGACATTTTTATTTCAACATTTCCGTCCAAAAACTCTAATGCCAAACAACTATTTACTGAACAATTTTTTCGCTTATAAAAACCGTAAAAAAATGATCAAACTGCTATTTTTTGGACTAAAAAATCATTTACCAAACATCCCCAACAACGGAATGGTTACTGATGAAGAATTGTTAAGAGTTACAAAAACTTTTTTATGGGAATTGAACTGAATCGAGTTAGGATGTTTTATAACGTCTGGTATTGTGTACCAGTATTTTATAACTAAAAAAGTCTGATCTAATCTGGTGTGAGACGAAAAAACAGTCAAAGGAAAACATCTACGGAGTATGATTCTTGGTTCCAAAGTGGCCACTGCAAAAACCGAACCCACTTGATCAAACCTATGTACAGTAGGCGGCGCACGCTCGACGTTGCAAGGAGAAGACCTGCGTACAGTAGTGTGTAAGAATCGCCTCTAGCCACTACTGGTAGCTAGGCTCTTCCAACTCGCCCCACGCTCTTTTGTTCCTTCTAATCTTTTCGAATCTTCACATTTCTCAATCACCCTGTCTTTTCAGCATCATCTTCTTCTCCCAGCACTTCGTTTTTTATCCCAATGTTTCTCATATCATTAATACTCCGTATAAAACGATTCGCATCAAGCATTCCCTCAATCTTCATACATTTACTCGAATCTCCGCTCGCTATCAACGCTTCCATTGATCTCTCCCCCCTTTACGAAGCAGAGCACTTCCTGTTAAGCTCGATTTTGACCGAATTGTTTCGTACGTGTCTCTGGACATGGCGTAATCTCACTCGTTTATCAATCTCGCTAGTAGTCTCACATAGCACGCGATCTCAGAATGTTGACTTGCATAGCTCGATCAAGGCAGCTTCGCAGCGAATCTCTCCCAAAAGCCGAAGAAGAAGAAGATGTCGGCGTCGCTAGTACTCTCGGAACCAGACAAGCCATCAAATCCCTCACTTCCCAGGCACAGTACAGTTCATCATTTTCATCCGTTATAGATTCAAACAACAAATTTTACTTCATTCAATTCTGTTTACACGGAGTATTTTTTATGCTTAATTTATTTGAACAAATCAGATTAAAGAGATGGCGCTCAAAGCTTCTGGTGCGTATAAGCATTGCAAGCCGGGTTCCGGTAGGCCAAACAATAATCATAACAGAAATTGCCCCGATTCGGAATCCGAGTCGGTTCTGGAGAGGTTTCGTTGTGGATATAGAAGGGCGGGGAATCCGGATTCAACCCCAATCTTAAGGGGACAAGGACTTCATGGAGTATTTTCGAGCGATGGAGGAACGCCGGAATCGGCGAGTGGTCGAAGTGACTCGCCCGTGGGGTTCATGGAAGAAGACGGCTGCGTGGAGTGGGTGGCACAGGTTGAACCTGGAGTACTCATCACCTTTGTTTCTTTGCCTAATCGAGGTGGTAATGACCTGAAGCGAATAAGATTCAGGTACCTAGCTTGGCCATCACCTTTGGAGTATTACTCCGTATTTTTTATGACGTATTTTATTTCAATTACTCCGTATCTATGTTGCACCGACCAGCGGATAGGCTAATACGCGAATACGGGTATGACGATACAGCAACATAAAAAATTATAAGATACGGGTACGGGCTATATTTATAAATAATACGAGTAATAATATAGGGTATACTTTTCAAATATATATAATTCAGAGATTCATAAATAAAATAATAAATAGTACCAAAAATTAACAATTATAATAATATTTCAAAATTTAGATTAAAAACTAAAGTACTGATATTTCGATTTAAATTTAAATAATACTTTTAGTTCTCTATATGCATTTATCTATGTCAGTTAACAAGATTGATTTTAATTAAAGCACATCAAGCGATAAATTGACAAATTATAGTATTTCAATATTTTTCATACTTCCAAATCATCTTTACTAATTTTCTACATCTTGAAGTAGTTTGGCGGCTACTAAATTTTCGTCACGCTGTATGTGAAATCAGGGTTATAGGGTTAGATACGCGTATCGGTTCACGGATATGAGTATCAGAAGTATCCATATTTTTTAAAAAAAGTCCAATACTTTTATTAAATTAAGGATACAGACCCAATACGCACATGACGCGTATCGGAGAGTATCGGTATCGGATACGTATCGGATACGCGAATACATTTTTGAAGATTTTTGAAATAATTAATAACAAAAGATTGAAGATAGCACTTTTATAACATTAAATTAAAGTTATGGAAAACTATTCGAAATTCTATTTTTTTCTTTTAACCATTATCGTTTAAACAACAAAATCAATAGACCGTTTACCAAATAAAAAATAGTTGTTTAAATACGAAGTACTCCGTATGTTTTAATCCATACAAATATAGTACATTTTGTCTAGCATTTTGTGAGTGTTTGATGCTCTATTTAAGTAACAAGGAGTATTAGGCAAAAATCAGGGCACTAGAATTTTGTAATAAGCAGAAAAAGTGAGGTTAGAGTTACTTTACTGGCTGTATTGGCTAAAGTTACTGTAGATGTTCATTTTAATTTTTAGCTATTTTACAAATAATTTTTTCTTTATTTTATTAATAAAATATATTTTAAAAATAGTTTTTTGTTAAATCAGCAGAATCAGTCGGTACAGTCACTTCAGCCAGAACTTCATAAATTTCAGCGGAATTTGCCAAATAAGCCGATTTTCGTGCTATCAAATAGGCTCTAATCATACATTTAGTGAGTACTGAGTTGTAATGAAAATGTTTTACGTAGTGCAATTCAGCGATTTAAACATTACCAAATATGAAATGGTGTCACGTAACACTCATATGCATTTTTTAGGTATCAAACATTCAAATCCGCCTTTATTAAGATAGTACAGTCGTCACACCTGCTTTTTATTATCTACATTTAAAGTTGACTAAAAGGTCAAATAGGTCGATGAAATTTGAACCCTTTTTTTCCGGTTCGGAGTGCGAATTAGAACTTTTTTTAGTTCAGAGACTGAATTGAACTCACACGACCGATTCAGGAGCCTATTTGACTTTTTAGCCTTTAAAGTTTTGTTTTGTTTGAGAGATTGCTGCAAGTTGAGCGTTTATTGTCCTTAGTTTGTTGTTTGTGATGTATATGTACATTAATGCAGAATATGTAGTTTTGACTAAATATGGGTGAGTCCACTGTGCCTGACTTGCCCTCAAATTGCGGGGGTGGGGCTCAAGATGGCCTCCGCCTTTCCCAAACCAAACTAACAGTCTAACATTCGATAGGTGCATTGAATTTCCAAAACGTCAAAATAACAACACTTTCACGCCATGTTCACCTGTTGTTTGTGATCTCATCATTGATCTCCTGTCTTAGTACTTATGTGCATGAAGGTGAGTAATGTATAATTAAGGAGCTGATGTTAAGGCTCTCTCCCAAAACGATGACAAAACGGCTCTCACAGAAGGTTATTTTCAAAAACATGAGGAGTAATTGTTGAATTCTATACGGGAAATAGTCCTAGATAGGAGTAAACTAATAATCCCTAAATGCACAAATAGTACTATGATGCTTATCTTCTCAAAATAGGAGTAAAGTATAATCTATCTTCTCATTCTACCCTTAACATAACTTAATAAGAAAATTATACTCCGTATTTTTATTTGTATTAAAATAATAAAAATATTTTAATTTATCATAAAATCAGACAAAATAGAAACAAATAAAACTAAAATAAAATAGGAGGCCTTTCACGCCGCCTCTGCCACTTTCTAGCACCATCACCTCCTATTGCAAAATAATGTCATTTTGTGGGGAAATGCCACTTATTTTTTTAAAATGCCAAATTTTACTCTGAAATTGTCTTCAAGATGGCATTAATAATGCATGTTGACATTGTTTTGACCATCAGTGATGGTGATGCTAGGAGGTGGCAGAGGGCAGCGACAGAGGCTTGCATATGCTTT